TGAAGACTAACTAGGAAGTCAGTGGAGCTGGGTGAGAACTAATTCAGAAAGCGAGGCTTTGTGGGGAGGCTTTGCAGGCCTTGTTAAGATGTTGATTCAATTCCCAGTGAGGACTGTGTGCGGAAGAGTGACTTGAACTGTTTTAAAAGCACAGAAGAGCCAGCTGTGGTGGTGCACGCCTGTCATCCCAGCACTCAGGAGGCTGAGGCAGGAGGACTGCCATGACTTCAAAGCCAACCTGCAATACATAGTGAGTTCCAGTCCAGCTTGGACTACATAGCAAGACCTTGTCTCAAAAAACCAAATACATACATAAAGGCACAGAGGAGGTGGGACAGAGTCTACCTCGGGACAGCATCCTGGGAGGCTTCTTGGAGGACCCAGGCTTTCCGGCCCGGGTGGCACCGGGCTGGTGGGAGAGTCAGAAAGGCAGCCTGCAGTGAGTGCAGGAGCGGAAGCTCAGATGCCTCTGGGTTCCGCTGCAGCTGCAGCCGGTTGGCAATGGCCTGCCTCAGGCATAAAACTACTGGGAACTCTGTTTCCTCGTCTCTGAAATGGGGACAGGACCAGGGCCCCGACTTGTGCTGTTAGGAAGATTCAGTATACGCAAGGAAAGCTTCAGCGATCGCAGGAGCTCTCAGGATTTCTGAGGCTGTCCGGATTCCCCGGCCTGGATGAAGCCAACAGGAGGAGGAGCGGCAGCAGCTGATTCTCGCTGGCCGCAGACCTCCCTCAGGTGCCTGCAAGGCGCTGGGCGCGTTTTATTTTGCCTAATCTGCATGACAACAGTGGACGGATTTCAAACGGAGAAACTGAGGGAGTCGCCCAGGGAGGGGCTGGCAGTGTGTGGTGCCCATCCTTCATGCAACTTCGGAGTTGTAGCTCTTTCCACTGTGAAGACCTGGGCTCTGGGGTGAGGGTCTAAAGGAGTCCCTCTTCTAAGAACATTTGGGGGTGGTAGTTTGAGGCCATTTTTTTTAAAGATGGGGCCTCTGTATGTTGCGCAGGCTGGCCTCGAACTTCTGAGCTCAGATGATCCTCCTGCCTCAGCCTCCAGAGTACCTGGGACTACAGGTACATGCAACCACACCTGGTGTCAGGAAGGCAATATTTTGTTTTTAGTTTTTTGGGTACTGGGAATTGAACTCAGGACCTTGCACTTACCAGGCAGGTACTTGTGCCACTGAGCTACATCCCTGGCCCTTGAGGGCAATATTTTATTTTATTTTATTTTATTTGTGGTACTGGGAATCAAACTTAGGACCTTGTGTTTGCCAGGCAGGAGCTTATGCCACTGAGCTATATCCCCAGTCCAAGGGCAATATTTTAATTGAAAGAGTTAAAGCGTTAAACTGAAACATATAGAAACGTTTAAATGATAATATAAAAAAAAAGCATAGAAATCATGGGCCAAAATATATGATGTTCTAATAGGGGCATTGGTGGGGACCTGGGGGGAAGCAAGAGAGCTTTTGAGAGCTAAGCCCCTTCCACCACCACAGGGCCTTTGCACAAGCTGCTCCTTTCACCTAGAAAGCTCTTCCACTGGCCTTCTGCCTTTCCTCAGGGGCTTTTCTGACAGCCTGCCTGTTAGCTTGTGTGTACACTTCGTGAAGTAAAGGAGATGGAATTCCTATACCATCAACTTCCTGATATAAAAGTATGCAGATGTATTAACTTCAGTACAGATACAGTGATAAAACCATCACCCTCTAATCCCAGAACACTTTCCTCAACTCTAAAAGAAACCCTGCATCTATCAGCAGTCGTTCCCCACTTTTCCCATCCTCCAGCCCCTGGCAACCACTACCCTACTCTGGTCTTTGTGCGTTTGCACATTTTGGGCAGTTCATTAAATGCAGTCACACAGCACGTGGTCTTTTGAGTCCAGCTTCTTTACTTGGCGACCTGTTTTGAAGTGCACCCACGGTGCAGCGCCGGTAGGTTCCCCCTCACTCTGTGGAGAATATTCTCCTGTACAGACGTTCCACATTTTCTTCACTCATTCCTGTCAGTGGACATTTGAGTTGCTTCTACTTTTTGGCTATTGTGAAGAAATGTACAAGTTGTTTTTTGTTTTTTTTTGTTGGTCCTGGGGATTAAACTCAGGGCTTTCACGCCAAGCTATATCCCCAGCTCTGTTTTATTTGGAGATGGATTCTCACTAAGAAGGCACTCAGTTGTCCAGGTTAGGCTTTCGATCCTCCTGCTTCAGCCTCCCAGAGTGCTGGATTACAGGAATGTGCCACTCACTATACCTGGTTTTAAATTTTTTATGAGACGTCATGGAACATGATGCAGGTTGAGGAGGGGAGATAAATTCTAACAAAGCAATTATAAAAACCAACGCATCGCTTTTTTTTTTTTCAACACATCGCTTTGAAAATAGCAGTTCCTCATAAAATTGACCTGGGGTTTGGAGTGTAGCTCAGGGATAGAGCACTTGTTTAATATGTTCGAGGTCCTTGTTTGATCCTAAGTGCCACCAAAAATACACAATACATACATACATACTAATACAAGCTTCTGCATAGCCTAGTACTTTTTTGGTTTTTTCTGAGACATGTTCTCACTATGTAGTTGAACTCACGACAATCCTCCTGCCTCCGCTTCCCAAGTGCTGGGATTACAGGTGTGGGCCACTACACCCAGCTTGGCCTAGCACTTCTACTCCTAGGTTTATCCCCCAAAGAATTGAAAATGTGTTCGCAAAAATGTAGACATGGATGGTCGCAGCAGCCCTACTCAGTGACGGCCCAAAGGGGGAGGCCCCCAGGTCTTCTGGTGAGTGGAGAGTAATCGCTCGGCGTCTGTAGGACGGGTGCTCAGACACACAGAGCAAGGAAGGGCCGGTTCATGCCACGGCCTGGAGGAGCCTTGAAAACATATGTACCCTCCACGGACACAGGGAGGACATCTGTCGGCTCACTTCTTACTCCCGTGCAGCCTTTTACCAACCAGGTCCCAGCCAGCAGCCCTATTCGCTGAGTGGGATCGTCCTGGAGACAAGCACAAGGCCCCGGCCTCCAGCAGAGCTGGCTGCGTCTGCGTTAAGGCGAGGCTTTGATGCTTGTCACGTCCCATGCAGCTCCTTCAGTATGGGCATCCCGGAGGTGCTCCGCAAAGTCCCTGCACCTTGGCCTGGCTGAGTGGGAGCTTCAGGAGTAGCCAGGTCGGGAGAGACACCGCCTAGGAAAGCATCACACGCTCACACACGCTGCCAGGTCCAAGCTCCTGTCCCCGGAAGTGCAGCTCCTCTGCTCAGGTTGTGAGTGCATGCATGTGTGTGTGTGTTTGTGTGTGTAGGACAGTGGTTTCCTGTCACTCTGCTGCCTGTACTCAAGGGACGCAGAGGCTGGGCGTGCTAGTGCATACCTATATAGTAACTCCAGCAGTCTGGGAAGCTGAGGCAGGAGGATTCCAAGTTTGAGTCCAGTCTGGGCAATTTAGCAAGGCTCAGTTTAAAAAAAAAAAAAAAAACTGGGGTTGTACTTCAGTGAAAAGGCCTGAGCTCAATTCCCAGTACTGGGACAGGGGTGTAGGGGAACAAGAGCGGCAGAGCTGAGAGGCGGCAGGCAGGCCCGTACAGCAGCCTCCAGGGGAGGCGGTGGTGATGTTTAGGGAGCCAAAGCCCCGGGCCTTCACTGCAAAGGGCCGGGTTCCCCTCCCCGCAGCACCAGCACGGAGCCCAGCGGAGGGGACGCAGGCTGCCCCCAGCTGGCCCATCCTCCTGTGGAGGGGTCACCAGGAATTCTGTGTTTCATCAAATACTGCCGGACCATGGGGTTTTATTTGAAAATAATTTTAATTAGCCGGAAAGTAGGAGTTTAATAAATGGAAAACAGAGAACTTTCCAAGGCCACAGCTGGGAAACACTCGCTTTTTAAAAAATTCTGTCTGGCTTCCCAGGCCAGCTAAGCACCCTGGCACGAGAGCCTGACTGCCAGAGGAATCCACAAGGAAAACAAAGCTTATTTTTAGAGAAATATTTTAAACTTGGTTTCAGCAAGCTCAGGAGTTTTCTTGTCTGTCTCGGTCCTGAATATCTTTCCCTCTATTTCAGAGCTGCCTCTGTGGGCACAGAGCTCCTATCGGCTCAGGCTATTTCTGCCCATATGAAAATAAAAGAGCCCCGCCCCCGCCCCCAAGGAATGGTTTCTAAAAATGTCCCCGCGGACCGAGTGCCGCAAGAGGCCTGTCCTTGGCAGGTGTGTCCTGCAATGAAGGTGAGTGCGGGGTCCCCGCGGGCCTGGGGTCTGGCCGCCCCGCCGCCCAGCCCTGCCCTGCCCTGCCACCGCGCAGCAGGAAGTGGGTGGCAGCCTGGCAGTCATTTCCGGGTTTTGAAAGCAGTTTTCAAACTTGAAGGAGGCCCGCTAAGGACTGCTTTTCCTCTGTAGGTGTGGGTAATACCAGCCTCACACACACACACACACACACACACACACACACACTCCTGCCCCAAACACACCGCCCTAACTGCAGCCCCTAGCCAGGCCCACCCCACCCCCACCACGGCAGCCGCACTCGGGCACACCCAACCTGCACCAGCACTCACACGCACACTCACACAAGCCTGCGCACCCCCCCCCCCCACACAGCAACAGACACTCCCACACAGACACGCACACTCGCAGGCCCGGCAGCCCTCAGCCCTCAGCCTCAGATACCCCATCTGCCGGAACACAGCCCCGGACGGCTGCACACAGACCCACACCCGCCAACGTCTGCACATCCACACAGGCCGACGAGGACAGAGACACACACACAAATTACCCTCCCACCCCAGCGCCCCATGGACCTCCCTCTGTGCACACGCGCTCTTTCTCTCTCTCTCTCTCTCTCTCTCTCTCACACACACACACACACACACACATACACACACGTGCTTTCAAGTCCAGCCTGCTGTCAGAAGCGGTGCGAGGAGGGGCCAGTGACTTCTTGCTCCTGGCCCCTCTGCCCCTCCCTGCCCTTGCCAGCAGCACCAGGCTGGAACTGCCTACCTGTTCCCTGGAGGAGTGGACAAGAAATGGTAAGGTGCAGTGAAAGGAGGCAGCAGCAAGCGAAGGGGCTGTGAGTCTCTGCTGGGGGCTGAGCCTGACCAGCTCTCAGGGCATGCAGAGATGCAGGGACCCAACTTCCGGTTTCAAGAAAGCTGGGTAAGAGTCACATCTGCCCTTGTTTATCACCACAAGCAAAACCGGAGGATAGCGGGTACCTGGGGACATGTCCCTTCCGAGGTTCAATGGGCTTCCTCCCTGTACACGTCCACCCCCGGCGGATTTTCTGAGACCCCAGGTGGATTTTAACAGTGAGCGTCCTAGTGCTGGGACAGCCCTGGCAGCCAAGAGCAGCACCTGCTTGTCTTTCCCGCAGCAGGGCCCTGCAGGCCTGCCTTTGTCATCCGGGTCCTGAGCTGCTGCAGGGCTCACAATCCTTCATCTGTCCCCATGGGCCAGTGCAGGGCCTTGGCCTAGTAGCAAGAGACATTCACACATTCTTTCTCTGAAATAAGTTAGAAGGTGATGCACACTGACTGGGGGCTGCTGAGAAAAACACCTTGGCCTTTACACAGGCCGTAGAAATCCACTGGGGAGACCCTCTAACCCAGGTTACGTTGTTCTGGGGTCCTTTTCACAGCTGACTGTGGAAGAATTGCTTCTTGAATTGGCGGTTGTTGTGGCAGGCTGAGGCAGGAGAATTGCGAGTCTGAATCCAGTCTGGGCAATTCTGTGACTTTGATAGATCCGGTCTCAAAATAAAAAATTAAAAAAGGGCTGGGTGTGTAGCTCACTGCCAAGGCCCTGGGTTCCAACCCCAGTGCCGGCAACAGTTGCTTCTGGACTTAGTCTTGGAGTCAGTGAGTTTTGGTTTCACGGCCTAGCCCATGATGGGAACCCTTCCTTGCAAGTTTTATTTCTATTTCTTGATTTTTGCAAGAAAACTGTCCAAAGGGTGACCCAGTACCGCGGGCTGTGTTTGCCGTTCACTCCCGCCGACACAGAAGCACAATGACCTGGTCGCCTCCATTGATGTGCGGTGGGAGGAAATTTCTGAATGGTCCCCCTAGCTTTCCACGCTCCACTGAGTCTCAAACACACCCTTTAGATCCAAGCAGTTGGGTTCTCGGAGCAATTTTTTTAAAAAATGAATGTGGCTTACCCCATATAAAGAAGTCTAACATTCCGGCTGATCAAGAGTACTTGTTTAGAAAAATAAGTTTGGGGACGAAGTGGAAACAAGGCCTTTGAAATGCAGCTTGGCCTAAATAGCACCGTGCTTTAGACGGTCACCCCCCCTCCCGCCCCTTTGCACATTCTTTATGGTGGAGAGGCCAGGGAGCCTGCGGGGTCTTCACCCAGCCCCGGCCCCCCTTGGCCTCGGGCTCCCCTTCCCCTCCCCCCGCCCCAGAGGCCCAGCATCTGGGAAAACTTTGGAACCACTCCCCAGCCCCTTTGGCAGGGTGCGCCAAGCCCCAAAACGCTCCAGTGAGCACCAGCGCCATCACCGCTAACGCGAAACAGCTGCCCAGGCCCGCCGCGGCCACCAGCCCTCCCCACCCGCCCGGCTCAGCTGAGTCACAGGAGACCCTGGCTAAGGCAGGGCCCTCGAGAGGGCACCCGAGGATTGGCTGATAGAGCCCAGCTGTTGTCGATAAGAAAGCAAACTATTGCTAAATCGCTCACCTCCTTTGGAAAGAGCGCCTCAATTGTATGCGCGCGGGGGCGGGGAATGAAGGAAACATGCCTTGATTTATGAACCAGATTTTGTTTTTAGAGTGAGAAGGAAAACAGCAGAGTCACCGTAGTGAGCTTGTCCGACTGTTTGGAGAACCAGCAGGCCAATCTATACTTTTCGGGGGCATGATGGGTTGAATTTGCTTTCTGGCCTCTGAAGCCTAGACAGTAATTCCTTTTGCATAAATAACTGGTGTGTGCTCATCCCCAGAGGAAGCTGTCTGTGTAAACAAACATCACCCAGATAGAAATTTAACCTGCCTAATCTTCCCTCCCTTCCTCTCCGAACAAGGACACAGCCTGGCTTTCCAAAGTCCACGCAAAAGCCACGGCCGGGGGCCCCAGACCTCCACTTCCAGCTCAGCACTCCCGGGGCCCTGCAGGCAGCAGCCCAGAGGAAAAAAAATCGGACTTTCAGCTGCCACCGCGGCCACGTGACCCGCTGGGTGACTCACAGGCTGGCCACACCCCTAGAGGTCTCCCGCCAGCCGCCAACCCTGGGACGCATCTTATTACCAAAGGGAACAGCTAATGCCCTTCCCAGTCCCGAGAAGCCCTTTTCTCAGCTGAGTACCTGCCGTCAAGTGCATACAGGTAAGGCGTCCATTCCCCGCCTCGCCAAGGCCTCAGGCAGCTGGAAGCCTAGACATTTCGATTGAAAAAAAAAAAAAAAAAAGCCACTCTCACCTTTTTTTTTTCTTCCCAAAGTTTTATTGGGGGAAAACTACAAAACATTTACAGTACAATGTTTACAGTCACAATTTGTAGTGAACTGATTCCCCAAATATATTACAACTCAAGTTGACTTATCTTGTTACATTCAAAAACCTACTTCTGTCAAAGTAGTCCAGAGAATACATACATAGTGCTCCAACTGTACCTACAAACTAAGCTACTGCTCATTCATCTGCTGTCCAGGAAAGCTCAAGACATTCCTGCCTTTCTACACGGGAAAAAAAGAATAGTACAAGTTTTAGCATGTTCGGTAATTAAACAAGGCATATTCGTGTACTATATACCATTTCAGCACTAAGAGGTGGCCTCTTCACTTTATAGCTATAAAAAAGTGGTAAAAATCTTTTCCTTTTGTGCAGTTGAACCCATCCTACATTCAAATTCTCTCAAGCACTAATAAAATACTTATTTGGTTGAGGAAGATTAAGGCAAGTTTGGGCCCTTTAAAGGCACTGTGAGACTACCCCCCCATTATTTATTGCTACATGTCTTTATACTTAAGAGTATGTCACAGTAGAGCTGGTGGAATCAGCAAACATTGTTTTGCTAGTCTATAAGGTTGGAATTAGCAAAATATGCCACATGTCAACCTGATTGCAATGTGGTCTTTTTTTTTTTTCCCCTAAAGGTGGATGGGCTACAACCATTATACATTCTAAGAAAACTCAGATATCTGTCAAACTATTTCCACAGCATCGAGATAGATTTCTGTAAAGAAACCATGAAATCTTTCGCAATTTACGTAAACAAGGAAAGAAATTAATGAAATAAATATTACATACAATCTCTTAAATTAAGATTTTTACTCATTTACAATAAAATAACCAAGTGAAGTTACAAAAGGCATATATTACTGTGAAAAGAACATACACTCCACATTTTGCCGATTAATAATGGCAATCATAATTTAACATAATAAAAGAATATATATCTATTGCTTTTCATCATACTCGATAAATACAGTATGAACAAAAATTTCAAATGTATACTTTTCACAAGATAATAAATAAGTTAAATAGTTTTCTCATATTGAGTTGTGGTGCAGTGGTGCGAAATCAACTCAAAAACAGCTAAAAATTCAGCAGTTATTTCCCAACAATTACAAACTAAGCTCTGCCCAAGGCTTCCAGAGCAGGCAACATGGTTTTAAACTAAACATCCACTAAGTGGTAGTAATGCAACCAGTAACCAGTACGAGACTTTGGAATGAATGGGTTTTTTCCCCAGACAGAGGACTTGGTTAAAAAAACAAAACAAACCTAAGGGCGGAGGCCCGCTACCATCAAGGCATATTCTTGGCGGAATATTGCGTTCTAAAAGCTTACAGTTCGGCAAGGTGGGGGCTGGCTGGTTTGTTTACACCGGGATGAGACACATCATTAGGAACTCCGAGATGCGAGCGCTCACATCTGGACTGTAACTAACGCTGCTTCAAGTGTAGAGATGGAATGGTGGCTGTAGCTGCTGGTGCTGGGCTGATTTTTCCTGGAGTCCCAAACTCCTCAGGAAACCTAAAAAAGTTGAAGTGTTTGGTTTTTTTCCTTTTTGTTCTATTCGCATCACAACTGCCCTGTTGTGAATATTTTGTTCATCAGTACGAAAAGTTCGTTGGCTTTTTTTTTTGTTTTGCTCAACAAGAATGAAAATTGGTAATAATAATAATAAAAAAAATAATAAAAACCAAGAGAAAACCGAAAGAGGAAGGGGCGGGGCCCCTCCCGGCACGGAGTTCGAGTCCAAGTGCTCGGCGGCGGGGGCTCCGGCGCGGGCTCCCCACCGGAAGCCCGCCGCGGCGGGAGCGCGCCCTCGCCCTCGCCCGTCCTCGCGGGCGCCCCCGCGCCTCAGTCGTCGGAGACCGACAGGCGGCTGAAGATGGGCAGGCGGCGGCCGGGGTCCAGGCTGGGGGACTCGGAGCCGCTGAGGCTGCCGGAGCTCAGCGAGCCGCTCAGGTAGC